TGGGTTGTCCACGACTTGCAGGAGCTGGGCAGCCACGTTTAACGTCCCCCACGGCACAGGGACAGGGCACAGCTCCGACACACGGACGACACGGAGACATCTCCTCCGCGGGCATGCAAACACGCAGCGCGGGCGCTCGCGAAAGCACGGACGGCAACACGGGGCTCTTCCACCCCGGCGGGCAATGATCTCCCCGAAGGCTTGGTTGGGGGAAACTGAGGCACGGAGCAGTCGAGGTCATGCAGCACGTCAGCAGCAGAGGGGTCCTGGCACCTTGATTTCTCCGTGTCACGCTCAACCCAAGCACTGGGGCTTGGAGATGGAGCCGAGCCTGATGCCTCCAGTTGGGCCGATGGAGATGCCTCCTTATTGCCCCTCAGCGTCTCTCTGGCCTTGTTTCCAGCCGTTTTCAGCCCAAATCCCACACCAAAGGCTGGCCAGCCCCTTTTCCCAACCCCAGCTCTCCCCAGACACAGACGCAGAGCTCGCCGACACACCGCCGAGGGGACGGCCACCAGCCGAGCGACAGAGACGGGGACCAACGCAACCACGTGCCGTGCCCACGGCGCCCGCGTGTGCCCACGGACGGGGACACGCGGCTGTCAAGCTGCTCCATGCAGGAAAAGCCAACCCCCCCCCCCCAGCCCCGTACGGGTTCTCACCTGGCGAGGATTCGGCCTTCCTGGGTCCCAAGCAGGTCCTGCGGTAGACCTGGCTGCAATCCTTCTCGAAGGTCTCCTGGTTCTGCAGCAGTTGGTTGATGTCCTGGAAGAATTGCTTCACCAGCACCAGCATCTCGTAGGGGGAGGTGGTGAACTCCTCAAAGCACATCTGCGAGAGCTGGAGGAAGAGCCGGGCTCAGCATCAGCTCCACGACAGTGCAGAGCACCCGGTGTCATCCCCACAGGTACCGCTCTGCACCCAGGGCAGGGTTTGACCCCCCCCCCCTTCACGCCTCCCTGTGTCCGTGCACACCCCAGCTCTGCTCTACTTCAAGCTCCTGCCCACGCACCCACCCCAGGATGCTCTGGACACCCCAGTTTCACCCGGGGATGAGGACTCAGACCCCTGCAGATCCAGCAGCCCAGGAGGCAGGGGACACGGTACCTTTCTCTCCTCATCATTCTCCTCCCTGATGCAGGGGTCGACGTTCTCGTCGATGCGGCTGTACATCCTACGCACCGTCTGCATCTTCCGGGCGTTGGGGGAGTTCTCCTTGAACTCTGTTCGCTCCAGGATCTTGCCCAGCAGAGGAAAGGCAGCTTTCACGTAGCAGACAGAGTCGTTCTACGAGGACACAGACACCCCCACAGCCCCCCCCAAAAAAATAAAATAATGAGACTGGTTACTGGGTGGGCAGAGGAAGCAGCTCCTATCCCACTCTGCCCAGGGGAAACTGAGGCACGGAGCCACAAAATGCCTTTCTACAGTCCTTCAGGCTGCCCAAGCTGGGACTCAACAGCCACGTGGCCAGGCAGGATGGGTCCCTCCTGGGCTGCCTCCCGCAAAGGGGGATAAGATACGGGACACGGGGGGGACACCCCCCACCCCCTGCACCAGCCAGCCCTGGTCCCTGTCCCCTTCTGTCCCTCCATGCCCAGCAAAGAGCCACTCACCAACTGCATCTTATTGATGAACTGGAAGGAGACCCTGCCCGGGTGCTGCATCTGGGTGTCAGCCTGGAAGAACGGAGCAGGATGTCACCCAGTGGGATAACACAGCAGGAAGGGGCAGCGGAGCCAACAGAGGCACCCTGAGGGCATGAAGGGGTGCCTGAGCCCCCCAAAATCCGCAGGGCTGGAGGTTCTACTCCCACCCCTGCTTCATCCCACACCATCCTCCTCCTTGCACAGACACTTCCCTAAAGCTGAAGCTCTGGGAGGGGGGTGAGCCCAGGATCCCCACTCCCATCAAGATGCTGCGCTCCCCATACCGGAGACGCCTGTAACCCCTTGCCTGCTCCCACCCCACCTCTCCTCCTCCTCCTCTTCATCCCAGCGCCAGGGCAGAGCCCAGCCCTGCTTGATTTTCCCAGGATC